AGAGCTTCTGATTGACTTGTCGAAGAATTTGCCGTTTTCCTTCTCACCTCTTCATTTAGGAGACTACTCTTGACCATACTCATAGTGACCTTTCCATCAGGCGAACAATTGCTCAAAGAGATCACTAATGTCTCATAGCTATCCAGTAACGAACTCAGGAGCAACAATGCTTGAAGTTCATCATCCAAGTTTATCTGCATGTTCAATAGCTGATCTACAATGCTCTGCAATCAAAGTCCCTTCTTTGTATTTCAAATTCACTAGCTTTCTTATCAAGAAAGCTTTGTTGCCTGCTGTCTTCCTTTCGAACAAATCCTCCAACTTTTTCCATAAAGTGTGTGCCAACGTTTCCTTAGAGGTGTGATAATATACACTATCATCAACCCATTGGCGTATATATCCCACTACTTGTCTATTCAAGAGATTCCAATCCTCATCGGACATATCTTTTGGCCTAGCCGACTCTCCCTTAATCGGAGCATGAAGCTTTTTGCAATATAGCAAGTCTTCCGTTTTCTCTTTCCATAATTGCCAATTTGTTGCATTCAAATTGATCATTCGGCTTGTGTTGACATCCATGACTACACACAAAAAATTTAACCAACCACTAAAATCAACCCCGACTTGGTTGCTTGCCAACTTGGCTCTGATACCACTTGTTGGGATTTTTAATATGTAGTCGATAACTTTCTGCAAGAAATAAAAACACAAGCACACAATAGAAAGGCAGAGACACCAAGATTTACGTGGTTTTTCCCCTTACACTTAGGGGTTTTCCACGTAAATCTTGGTGTCTTTGCCTTTCTATTGTGTGCTTGTGTTTTTATTTCTTGCAGAAAGTTATCGACTACATATTAAAAATCCCAACAATTTGGTAAGGTTCCTAGGATTCTATTGTTGTAGTTCTTAGAAGTTATGTGACTTTTGTTGAAGCTTCTAAATTTTACAGATTATTGTATTGCTCATCGTTACAGAAGATAGGATGTATAGCTCATAGTTGGGGTGAACCAGTATAAATCTATTGTGTGCGCTTTCCATATTTCTCTATTGACTTAGTTTTCGCTGAGAACTGTGGAATGAGAAAATATTCTTGTTAAATAATTCTTCCAACGCTACCCAACCCATAATTTTTGTTATCTCTAGAGACATAAAAATAAAAATTTAGAGAGATAAAAAGAAATTTTTAAAAAAGAAATTTAGAGAGATGAATAAAAAATTTAGATAAAATTTTGACGGACAGAAAAGTTAAAAAGACAAAAAAGATAAAATTTTAAAGAAAAAGAATAAAGTTGAGAGAAAAAACATGTTAGAGAAAGAAATAAAAAGAAGAACCATTATAGCGAGAAAATTTTTTAAACAAAAAGGGTCTTTTAAGTAAAGAATGTTAAGGATCTCACATTGATAAAAGAAGAGACTTTTAACAATGGTTTAAACTAGGGGTGAAGTTTTTAAACTTCACTCCTTGTTCAAGCGAAGAATTTAAAAAGTCCATATTTTAACAATAAATTTACTATTCAACTCCCTCAATTTACTATCTAACTCCTCACTTTATTTTATTTTATCTATTTATCTTTACTCAAGTTGGTGTCACATCAAATCATATATATATATATATATATACACTATCATTTTTACTTTCATATATTTATTTTTCTAATTTCCAATTATTCAACTTTTGTTTTACAATTTAATTTTTTTGGTTTTACCTACCACCATACTCATAATTATAGATATTGAAGTTTTCTAAATTGTAAAGCAAATGTATTTTTTTTAATTCATAGATATATATAATTTTCAATTTTTAGAGAATATATCAATTATAACTCAATTTCATGTTTACATAGGTTTTAAAAATATATATATATAGTTTTTATTTTGTCTTCTTATAGAAAAAAATTAAAATTCCAAGCTTAAATAATTAAATTGAAACCATCAAAAAATCAAATTAATCAAGTAATTAGCTTACTTTTTTAGCGAATTATTATTATTATTTTAATTATTATTATCTCTTATACATGTTTAAATAATTATAGTTTGTAACAATATATAATTTTAAACAAGTGATCTTAAAATATAAATAATAGTTCATTTTGAATTTATACAAATAAAGATACTTAATTTCAAGCGAACAAATATTAAATAAAATAATATATTTATGTTTTAAATTAGTCATATTCAGTAACAAAATAAATTGTATTGTATTTTGAACCTACTAAAATAAAATATATATTAAAAATGTTTAATTTTTAAATTAAACACGGTCAAAATGAAAAATATAGATGTATGATATTCATTTTGAATTTAGTTAATTAAAATAATCTAGATATGAATTGTTTTATTTTTACTATAATGATTTAAATGAGTTAAAGAATGTATTTTATTTTCAAGTAATCAAATTAAAATAACAAAATGTATTAAAAAAATTTAAGTAATTTTATCATTACTCAGATAAAATTCTAAGATGATGTAATAGAAATAAACGAAATATAATTGTAATTATAACACATTTAATTAAAAAAAATATTCATAAAACAATATAACTTGACATTTAAATTTTAGAAAAAAATATAAATGACATCAGAAAAATTAATTGAAAAATTATTAGAATCTTACTCAACAACTAGAAGAAAAAAAGACGACACTTACAAAACTCCAGACTTACTAACTCACGTTGAACACAACACGGACTTGAATACATATTAAATAACCTCATACTAATTAATTCTCCAAATTTACTTCCTACATTTAGCAACTCCAGATTTAACAACTCCACCCTACGACTTAAACGCCCCAAAAAAATTAAGATACATCTGTGAGAGAAAAATAAATAAATAAAAAATGGTGGAAGAAAATTGAAAAAGAAAAAATTTAGATAAAGAAAAGTCAAGAGACATATTTGATCCAAAAAAAGTAACAAACCATTAGTATTTAAGCCAATCATCAAATATTTGGATGCCCTCGTTTGGGAGAATCTTGTGTCCACGCTGGGCGGTGAGATTCTATTTCTTTCGATATTCTGCTTTTAATAATGCCTTTTTGTTTTATCTTTTTTCTTATTCTTTTCTTTGACAAAATTCGTGCCTAACCTTTCTTTTTATCAAAGATTCTCACCCTACTTTTAGTCTTGAATTCCCAGATTCATTATATCACTTTTGTTTTCTTTTTTATTCAATAGAATTTTTTATTATAAATCGTTTTCTCTTTTAAATAAATGTTACCTATTAAAATTTATCTTCTCTTTAAAATAAAATCACTACTAATTCTCAAAAATAAAATAATTACTATAAAAAATATATTGTTTAAAAAATATTGTGGGGACCAACCAAATAAGAAATGAGAATGGGTTGGTGAGGTTTTAGAAAAGAGAAATGGTATCCTACCGATCATATTAGAAATTATATTTTACACGTAGCATGTTTTAAAATTTTACCTATCTGAATTTCGATATCTGAAATTTTTTATTAATCTCAATATTGACCTCAATTATTACTTTTATACTTAATCTGTTTAATAACTTTTTAAATATTAGATTTGATTTTTATTATATTTTTTCTATATTTGAATTAATTAATTCCATGTATTTAATACCATATATTCAAAATTTTAAAAATCTCTTTCTTGTGGCCGACTCAAAAAAATCTCATATTTTTCTCCTATCAAATTAATATCTAAATCCTTCCTTTTCTAATCCAAAATCATTCGAATTCTACCTCGTTGGAAAATACCTTTTTTTTCCCTATAAGTTGATTTTTTTTTCTTTCTTGCAATCATAAATTCTTCCCCTCGAGCAGTTGAAATTTCCTTCCATTATTCCAAGCTCCCAAAAATTTCGATCAAGCAGTTGAAATTTCCAACAAATCAACATTGTCCACAGATTCTGCGTATCAAATTTCGACTGTAGCAATTGCTTTTCACTATTCAAATTACGGTTGTTTTAATGTTATTTCTCCTTTTTTTTTAATTTCTTAATCAACTTTGTAAATTTTGTTGGTCTTTATCCATGTTATGTAATCTTGGATTTTAGGTTATAAGACAGTATTATTATTCATCTAATGTAAATACAGTATACATTCATCTAGTGTACGTAGCTCTGGCGTAGCAACAACATGCGATATGGAATGAAGGGACTTTCAAAATGATGCTTGTTTTAGCTCATGATTGCGTGGATGATTTCGTCTTAATTTTCTTTCAAAAAAACAAAAAAAAAACGTTGTAAGAATCACATTAAACCTAGCTTGTTATATAAGCATAAATTCTATTGTAGGGACAAAATCAAACGACAACTATATATTATGGTATATGTTACATAAATCAACATTAGTATATGTAATAATAGTATAGTTTATAAAACATGTTAGAACCCCAACCTAAAAGAACACAACCAAATAATTCAAGATACCCAAAAAATGAACTCTGGAATCAAACTTCAAAGCATCTAACAACGCTTGAATATAACAGTATATAAAACTCCAAAATTAAACTTCAAATAACAACATGTATGTCAAAGCGAACATAGTTCAACGGTAATTATTAGCATATACCTCCTACTAAGAGGTTATGAGTTCGAAATAAATCTGTCCCCTCCCCCTCAACAGTTCGTAGCCCAATGGTTAGCCCCTCCTCCTAACATTTAGTCGTTCCAAATTGTTCGAATGAGAATTAAATGGTGGGACATACCCATTTTTTTCATTCTCATCCTCTAAAAAGGGACAATCTCATTCCTCTACTACACCCTTATCAATCTCATTCACATTTACAATCACTTTTCTACTTTTACCCTCTCTCTCCCGATTAATGAGATCCATAACTTTTTATTTAATTGTTTTATACTTTTTTATTTCTTTTTCATTTATCCTAATAATAATTTTTCTTTTAGGAAAAATATATATCACTTTTATTAGTTGATGTGATATTATTATAAAATATAAAATTTAATATCAATAATATAGTAATAAAATATTATTGTAATTAAAAAAAATTAGCACACAGTGTATTTGTGATTAGCTAGAAAGAATATCAATTCCAGACAATTTAGTAAACAACGTCAAAGGAGTTCTTATTCCAATTCTAAAAAATTTAATAAGAATCCTTTTCTACAGTGATTTCAAAGGCAAAACTTCATACAAGTTGTGAGAGATGAAGTTCATGTAGTAGAGTCTCTCCCCTCAGAAATTGCTGCTATCAAGTCCTTTGAAACTGCCCCATTTTCTTGGTTCCTCGTTATTATAGACTGCATATGGCATCTCCCTCGAATCGACACAATGTGCGTATTCTTCACAACTCTCGTCTAGCTAACAGTGGCGTCGCTGAATCGACACAAAAGCTACGATGTCGGGCAATGTACGAAGCTTTAAGGTTTAATCCAGAGATCGAACACCTTGGAAACAAGTTGGCTGCTCGACTCAGAAGTAATGGAAAACCTTAGTTAGCTCTTCATTAAAGGTAAGAAACAAGACCCAAGATACCTTTCTGAGTTTACAATCAAATTGTTTGCAAAACCCAGACTTCAGAGATACCAATTTTCAACTTCCACACACATACACACAAAAATAAATAATAAAAAATAAAAATAATTTCATTTCTTCCTCAAACATCATGCATAAGATGTAATGGAAGATGTCAAAGGAAATATATTCGATTGAGATACGAAAAGGACATGCTAGCATTCACAGGCTGCAGTCACAATCTTACTGAAGCTGAGGATGAAGAGTTAATGAATCTATTTTTTTTTATAAGAAACCAAAAAGGATGTATTAACTGCACAAAAGAAAGACAACCTAAGGGCAAGGGTAGCGACAACCACTCCCACAAAATCTAGCTACAAAAAGGCTTTCCAATTGTTAATAATCAAAGAGAAGCCATAATTACAAAAAGCTTTCGATCTAGTACACCACCAAGAAGCCAAGTAACCAATACTACCATAAAAGAATCCTTTGAACTTCCTCAAAAATACGTTGGTTTTGTTCCTTCCAGGTTTTCCATAACACTGCCTTCACTGCAAAGCACCATAATGCTTTGACTTTTCCCCTGAACCTCATCCCCTGCAAAGCTTCCAACATCTGATCATCTACCTTTTTAGGGAGACGAGTACAGAAAGATTGGAGTTGGTTGAATGTATTGACCAAAATAACCTAATCCTTTTCTGCTAAGATCCAAGATCCACATGCTACTGATGTGAGTAAAGCTAAAGCAACGGTAGTATTTATATCAGTTGTGGGTGCGGCTAACTCTCCGTGAGGTAACTCTATGATTTTCCAAGGTAAAAGAGCCTCTGACCAATTCGTACATATCCTTGAATTCATTCGAAGAGTTAATGAATCTAAGGCTTAACGTAAGACACTGGAAGGTAAAAGAGATAAATGCAACCCAGAAAAGACTAATAGGGAATGCTGTTGAGAATGGAGCCAAATTAAAAGAAGGGGGCTTAAATACAAAAGGTCTAATACATTTAGATTACTTCTTATTGAAGTTTAGTTATATAATTTTTATGTAAAATTATTATCCTTGCCGCCCTATTTTTCAACAACCCTAAGAGAGTTTTTTTTAGTGAGATTTCATACAAAGGGTCATCTTCTTCGTGAGTTTTTGTGAGGGTTTTTTACAGAGAGTTCTGTGAGTGAAATTTTGTGAGAAATTTTATGTTCAATCTCTATTGAAGAGTTTTAGAAGCTTGTAAGAGTGATTCGTGAGCATTTTTCTTTGAGAGAAAAGTGAGAGAAATCATTGTAGAGCGTTTGTACTCCTGGCATTTAGTGAAACCTGCAACGATAGCAGAGAACTGAACGTAGCCCACATTGAGTAAACCAGTATAAATCCGATGTCGATTTTTCTTTCCTATATTTTATTGTTCTTGTTGCTTGAAGTTTAGGTTGATTTATCTACTCTTTGAGCATAGTTCCGATTTTGATTTATTTCTGTTATAATTGGAACCAGAACCTGATCTGGGATTAGTTAGCATATTGTCTGGAATTGTGATTGAGATAATATTTGTTAGCTTGTTTTATCCCTAACAAATGCCTCATGACTCCAAGAGAGGTATATGTGTTTCTCAAGGCAATGGGATATACTTCTGATACGAATATCTACATTGTTGCTGGCAAAATTTACAGCAAAAGCGGGATCAAACCATTAAAAGCTAAGTATCCTAATATCTTCACTCATTCATCTTTGGCAACTGAAGAGGAATTCCAGCCTTTCAAACAATATCAGAACCAGTTGGCTGCTTTAGACTCTGTTGTAGCACTAGAGAGTGATATTTTCGTTTACACCTATGATGGGAACATGGCTAAAGCTGTCCAAGGTCACACGAGATTTGAAAGATTTCGGAAAACCATCAGCCCTGACAGGTATACACAATAGGGAAACAGATTTGAATCCTAAATTAATTGAGTTCTGTCCAATAAGTGGTGTTACTCCTTACAAGTAGTTGATAGTCAGACAATTGAGTTCTTTCAAATTTGATGGGTCTCAAGCTTTTAAGCAGCATGTCAGCTAGAGAATCTAAATCTACAGGATGAAATCATCTAAACTTATAGCTGAAACTACAGGAAAAATCATTTAGAAAAGTGTTTCTATCTCAATTTAAGCGACACTATCATCCATTTCAGGATAAATTTTGTGGATTTAATTCTTTTCGGGACAAATTTTGTGGATTTGATTGATCAATTGGACAAAGGAGCGTTAAGTTGGGGAGAAATTTCTTCCAAAGTTACTGAATTACATAAGGAGAGAATGGGGTTACCATATCCAAGCCGTCCCGGGAAGTCTTCAAAACTGGAGGACAAGTTCTACGCCAATCCTTATCCTGGTTGCATTTGCAGCAAGTCTGATGGTGAGAAGCATAGCTCGAAAAAAAGCAAATCTTGAGGCTGAAAATCATCTGGTCATACAGAGAAAAGGCCATGGGATGTACACCTGGCACAGGAAAACTTCATGCTTCAGCAGCTACAAATTAATGCATGGCACGTTGAGAAATTGAAGTAGCAGATGAGTTCACTCCTGTGGTATAACAGCTGCAAAATGAGAAGCCAGCCCTCAAGTAGATTAGTTTCTTCAAGGAAGATAGTTATATGATTCCTTTCCCACCAAATTTTACCTTGGAATCCACTTACAATGTAACTACTTGAGTTTAGATATTTAAAAAGAAAAATAGTTACAGTAACAAAAATGTGATCTACATTTTCATTGGTGCTTTCATCTTTTTCTTGCTTCTATGTGAATGGAAAACATAAATGTGATACAACACCCAATCCAATCAACTATACCAATCAAGAAAAAGAATTGAAAAGGTGAGCACAAATAGAAAAAGAAGAAGGAACGTTCTGCTGCTGCTATTCCGCTGAATTGCTTGGGAAAGTTCTTTATTACCTCGAGCTCAACATTCTTCGTAGTTTTAACAGCCTAATTCGTATTTTAATGAAAAAAAGAAAGCAAATGGGAAGTTTAGTACTGCTTGATTGAACTTTATACGGAAAGACAACAAAAAGGAAAGTGCAATTGTATTTAGCCATTGAGATTTGAGAAGTAATGTGAAAAGAAAACAAACTTAGTTAAAAATCCGACCTGTTCATAAAGAAATTCAATCTGTTGTGCTTGTTGCAAAACGTGGGTAGACATAAGGTGATTCAAAGCAGACATCTCAACCATCTTAGTTTCTGTTTCTTGGACTGCATCAAGAAGACTAATCAACTCAACCAGAAAAATTTGGAAGAAAACACCTTTCAGTTCTTAACTTTTACACACCAAGAGAATAAATCTCGACTCAATTAACAATTGATATGATATAACTCTCATCAAAATTCCTCTTGGCTCTTCCCCTCCATATTTTAATTACCTGAAGTGCGAGTTTCATCATCCAACAGTTGCTGTTGGGCTCGGACAGGTTCATGCTCAAAAGTAGTAGTTTCCTTCAGCTCCGTATTATTATATTCAGGGGTATCTGCAGAACGAGGTTTAGTTACCTGGTTTGGTTTTCTTCTTGGTACTGCTTTGTTTATGATATCTTGAAATCGAATGGCTCTTATCTTATCAAATTGTGATGTTACCGAATGGAGCCTCTCACTCAAAATTAGTACCTGTATTTAAAGAAGAAAACTTCAAAGTCAGCAATGGAACAATTACTTATGGTGGGAGTGTGGGAAGGATATTCTCGCAAAATAAAGGAGGGCAACCATTTCACTGAAAGGATATCTCTCCATCCGTGAAGGATGAAAACCCACAACTATTTAAACAGACACTTCCACCAACAGTAAAAACCATGAAGGAAGGCAGGACCAGGGAGTTGATGGGCAAATTGGAGAATACCAATGTTAAAAGAATTTTATTATTCTTTCTTTTTTTAGAACTAGGAATCGGAGCTTTGCTTGCTTTCCTATACCCAGGACACCAGCGCCCGCTCCAAAGCACGAACCTGTAAGACATCAAGGGTTTTTAGTATTCAGCTTACTAGAAAGTTCAAACTTGAGACAAACCAGTATGACCGAGAGACCCAAAGTTCTTGCCAACTTGTACTGCCACTTGGAAACTCTTGTCAACTGTACTGCCACTTGGAGACATCAATGTTAAAGATTTAACTCAAATAGCTCAAGCAAGCAGCACGGAATCTACACCCGTAGTTCTTGCTGGTAAAAGAAAATCTTCAATCAACTTGAAGAGCATATTGAAAATTTAAAAGGACAAAACTATTGTGATTCACACATCTCATCCTAGAATTTGGTGTAGTCTGATCATTTGCTAGAAAGAAAACGAGCTAATCTTTTCAGCAGAAATATATAGTCCAAATTTCTCATCACCAAGAAACTCACTTAATTTGAGAAAAATCATACAAACCTCATTATACCCTAATGAAACAGCACAATGCCGCACAACATCTTCAGTCCTATCCTTGAATTTTGCCATTCCCTTCTTGACGAAGCTGAATATTAAATTCAAAAAAGCATAAATGGCTTGAATGAATTATGGAACTTTAACCCATAGCGGTCTTTTGCTTTAATAAAATTTCTATCTGTCAAAAAAAAAAAATGTAGGTAGAAGAGAGACAACAGAAAAAAGATAAGCGGATTTGCAAAAAAAAAAAAAACAACGGTAGTGGAGTGGTGTGATTAAATTTTAAAAAAATATATATTTTTATAGGAACTTTGGAATTTTCCAAATCTGTCAAAAGTTGCTTTTAACCAAACATTATTTCAAATCTTTTATGATTTTAAATTCCTTCTTTTTCTTTAACCAAACAACAAAAATGATTTTGAAAATATTGTGATTTGCAATCCTTGCACGTTCCAAACGCAGGGTTAAAAAGATTCATATAATTTTGTAATATAACATACTATTATTTTTTTCTTATAATATTTAGTAATGATGAATTTTATATTAACAATTTTATTATAATAATAAATTAGAATTAAATAATTGATTAATTAAATAAAACTTTGTAATCTTTTTTAACCTATTTCCTCTAAATTCTTTAGAATCAACCAATATTAACATTGAAAATGTATACCCGCATATATTTCATATGTAATGCCCCGTATTACCTTTAAGAATATTTTCGTGACTTTATATTATTATTGTCTTTCAGTTAAGTTAGTCAAATCTAATCAACTTTATATCAATAAACTTTAATCCATCTTATTTAATAATTGTAGGCCTCTTATGCTCTAACTAATTAGGCTCATGTTAATTTTATTTACATGTTAAAAGAAACTTACAACAAAATTGAGTGATTTATCCACGTTTAACTAATTGTGTATGATAATAAAAAATAAATATGCCTAAGAAATTAATAAACTTAGCAAGATTATAATTGTACTTAAGTAACAAAATTAGCAATAGTACCTTAGCAATTAAATAAATGTGGTGAATTATAGTAATTATAATAGTGGAGTTATTTGAGTATTTATAAAGTTTCATACATTTTACCCAAAGTTCTATTATAAGGTAATTAACCAAGTAAAACCCCAAATTACCTTTCTTTTGCTATTTACTTTTCTATCTTAGTCAAATTAAGTTAATTGGGGGAATATAGAGAGTTTTACTTTAACTCAATAACCATAATTAGACAATTTAACCCACCTTCCACCCAAAAATCACATTGATTAATTAAGTTTGTTACCATACATGAGGAGAGAGAAGAAGTTTGTTCCATCTTCCAAGATTTATGTTTGTTTCATCTTGCATTCTCCTTAAGTTACCTATGTTTGTTTTATTCATTTTCGTTCAAGAAATCTGAAAATTTCTCTCCATCATCCATCATAGTACTGCAAATCACACCTTAGAGGGAGAAATAGTTGTTTTTCCAAGTTCCTTCAGAAAATCCACGGAAAGATGCCAAAAGATTAAGATTATGGTATTTGTCCTTCCTTACACAAAGGTCGTTAATTGGTTTGCTTTTTCAATGAGAAACGGTTTCTTTTAGTCTAGTTTTGGCGATAGATTTTTCCTAATAATTTTTATAGAACCTAAGCATGTTCATATCAATTTTTCTAAGGTTTCCATCATCATTTCAAGTTCTCTTAGTTGCTGGAAAATTTTCTCATTTTATTCTTTACGGTAGAGAGAAAAACGTACTAACGATAAACATCATTCTTCCTTGTGTGAATTATTTTTAGGGTTCATTATTAAGATAAAATAGGTTTTGTTTAGGCATTATTTTTGTTAATTTGAGGTCTGAAAATCAGAATTAAAAAGGTGCTAAAAATGTTCATAAAATTGCTTCATAACCGTTTTTAACGGTTTATGTTATTTTCATAGTTTTAGCTTGTTTTGTATCAAAAATTGGATTGTTAATTCTAAATTTTTGAAACTATGACCAGCACCTTTAAACTAGCCTAAAATGTATTTTAATATATTAAAATTGATTTTTATGATTAAGTTTTACCTAAGGCTTAAAATTGTGAAAACTAATGCTATATGTTTTCTCTAGTTTTTTTTGTAAATTTGTAAAATCAGTCAATTATTTTTATAGATATTGTAGTATAAAATTAAGAGACTAATATGAAGATTTAAAATTACTTTTCACAAATTTAAATATTAATTTTATGATTATTATGGATTAGGTTAATTATTATGTGATTTATACTAGTAGAATAATGAACCTATCTAGTTATGAGAACTTATTGGAGAAAGCTTAGTTTAGGTAATTGAATCCTAATTTTAGTTGTGTGAATTGTTATTAGGAAGCTTTAAGGAATTACCTTTAGTTTACGAAGTTCAGGTAAGTGGATTCTATCATAAGTTACCGTCTTGTATGTTTTGTTGTATTATTGACTGATTTTAAGTGAATTATATGTTATTTGTGACCTTAGTTTGTTAATGAATTATGTTATTCATGTTGCTTAAATATATTTTGTTATTGAAAAATTTGATGCATTGCAAAACATGTTATGATTATGTGGCTTTATCATGTTATTTTAAGTATGTTCAATAGTAAAGCATGACATGACGTGTGATTCATTGCATTCGTAGTTGAGTTAATAGTCTTATGTGTCATGGATTTGGTAAGATTAATGTTATGCATGAAATACCCAAATTAAGTAGTTATGTTATGCAGCTAGATGTATGATATGACATGTATGGTTTCTGCTAAAGGCTGGGCCCTAGGAAACAATTAATTCATGTTAATGGTATTTATGGGGTAATTACCCAATAAATATTACATGCGGAATTGACGATTATGGTATAGGATATTTCTGCATAGCATGGTGCCAAATTAAGGATTTATATACGTAAGTTTATGCTAGCAAGCACAAGTATGTTAAGTTAAGTTGTTCATTGGTTTATATGTTGGGTTGAGGTATGCATGCATATAACCGTGGTGTGTGTGTTTGAGCATGAAAGATTCCTTATGATGGGAACTACTTACTAGGTATTTTTATACCCACTCTATGTTGTTTCAATTTTTTTTCATAGATAGTTATGTAGTTGACGAGAACAACGTTGAGGATGACCTTGGCATTGACGAGGAGGAGATATGAGACACACTTGCATCTTATTTATAATTTATACTTTTAATTATGACTAGACCACATTTTTACTGTCTTGTTTAAGGATGATAATTTATGATTTCCGTTATTAGAGATTTATATCTTAAGTTTTATTAAGTTATCGTTTATTTTTTAGATGAAATAACAAGTTTTTATCTTATTTTATTTTAATAAAATTAATTATATATATTTAAGATTATTAAATACATATAGAAAATTTGGGTCATTACATCATACATCTTCGAACCCACCTAGATCTTCAAATCAAGAATCGGGCAGTCCAAAAATTTTAGGATGCGTTTGATTGGTGATCTGAAAACAAAAAAATTCAATGAAAAATAAAGTTGTATTATTTGTTTTAAGTGTTTTGGGATATCTATTTGATAGCAGATTTGAAATTTGAATCTGAATTTACAAGTTTCAAAAGTTTTGGGATATGTGGTTCATAAAAGTTCCAATTTGTAATTCTTGCATTTTCAAATTTTCAAATTCAAAATTGAAAAAACACTTAAAACATACCAATGTTATTTTCAGAATTTCCACTGTTTGATCAGAGAATTCAAAAACATATTTTAAAAATAAATCTACCAAACACATAATTTAATTCAGTGAATTTAAAAAGAAGAAATAGAATCCGAATTGATATTTGTGTAAAGAGAGATTGAAAAGACATCTCAGCCCATCTTTAAGTCCAACCTCCCTCCATTTTTGTTTCACGTTTCGTGAAGGTAACGTCGAGGCTCACAAACTTGCAAGAATGGTTTCATCGTAGTGTTCAAAGGGAAAATTCCCTATACTACATATACCATGTCATTTATTTTGTGTGCCACATCATCATCGTTTAAAAATGAAGTAGGATCCAACAACATTAAAGTATTTATAAATAAATAATTATTGTGTGAATAAAGCAGGTACCATAAATTTCCCGGTCATTTCCCTCTAAGAAAAGGAGAAAACATCCCAACCCTACCTTAATTACCATAAAATATAAATAAAGTATTTAAAAAACTACAAAGGGGTGTATGATAGAGCAAGTTTTGTTGTTTTGCTATAATTACCCCTTTAATTTATAGTATACTGTCTTAGCATTATACTTTTTGGACTTACTTTATTGGCACTTACACACAACTAGTAGTGTGAACCTCGTGCTTCTTTCTTTTTACTACATTTTTTTATAATCATTTATTTATAATATATTAATAAAAAGATATTGTTTTTAATTCATAGTAATGATTTCTTGCCTACTCAAAAGAAAACAAGAAATGATTTGAGTCGTGCTTTTACTGAGTGATAATGATAATTGATAAGTTTTTACGTTCATAGTGGTGGCTAAATCGGTCTTTATTTTAAAAATATTTTAAGTTTTTTGGTTTCTTAATGTAAGTTATTTTTTTCATATAAAATGTGGAGTGTCGATTCAAAATACATATCTTTGAACAGTTTAGTAATCTAATTGGTTTTTTTATATTTTAATTTTTTCTCTAGAAATACAAGTATGGATAATTTTTTCCATTTATTATATTACATATTAGCACCATACTTAACCGGATTCATGCTTAATAAATATTTATTGAGAAGCCAAGAGGGTAACTTTTCGGCAACTTCCCCTCAAATTTACCTTCTTCTCCCTTGTGTACAGAGCCGCTGACGCCATGGCCAAGACCGAAGCCAAACGACGACATGAGTTCTCCAATCTGCTTCTTCCCTCATTCTTTACATTATATTTTTTAGACTTGTTTTTTTAATACAACATGTATGGGTGGTGAATTCAAACTTACGATCTTCTGGTAGGATATAGGTGCTTTAACCGACTAAGCTATTGTCAGACTTCTTTTTTTCTTTTAAGATCGCTTTTTCGACTTCTTTATTGGCACTAATACACAAAGTATGAAATAATATTTCCCAAGTATGCTCAAGAAACCTCCAGAAACCACTAGGTTAAGTGGTTTGCCAAATCTTGCTCAAGAAGCCTCCTTAGAGATGGAAACCTCTAGAATCCACTAGAATAAGTAAAGCTTGCTCAAGAAGCCTCATTGGAGAATTGAAGAAACTAGAAGCTACTAGAGTACAA